TGATCGAAATGTCCTTGACTCTGTACGACAATCTCTCCGGAATGAATAATTGGTGAGAGAGAGTTTTAGAATGATAAAATTTTGAATATCTATGAACAGAGATGCAGAAATCATAATTAATAGACAGATATGCGGAAACGAAAAAAAATTCAGATGTAGGATAGAACCTGTTCTGATACCAAGAAGAAAATTGATATTAGATTTATTAGAAATAAACGTAAACATAAACTAAAAAGGTAAAAGATTACATCTTGTATATTTTCCACTATGAATCTAGTACATCATGTTCCTTTTTATTGGCTTAGATACATTCTTGATAAGTATAGTAAGGTAACTACTTTTATCTACATATTAAAGATAAAATAGTAATTTCTAAGATTCATTATCAAGCATTATCTTTTTTGCTCCTTATCGTTAACATAAAACACGTGAACATTCTAATTTGTTTCATTTTGAATCATAATGGCTCAACTACTAAACTTCTGATTTGACTTGCTGTGACGAGAAGTGAACTTCTAGTTCCCTAGTAAACTTCCGGTTTACTATAAAACCCACAATAGTAATATATGTATAATATTTAATACAAAAAATGCAAAGGTGAAGACAATTTTCTTCTGGAAATTATATTTGCAAGGTACAAGTATATGATAGCACTTTTGAAATTCAAAACTCTTTTCTCAAATTCTTTTGGTATTGGTGTACAATTTTATTTGCTCATGGCACATTTTATTTACTTTTGTAGAACCAAATTTACAAGTCCTCTTCTGGAGACAATAATGAACTATTCAACTATGTCATGTCAATTCTTTTTATAGGAGCATTTACTTTAATAAAACTTGTCTAATCTACAGTAGTATTAGTTTATTCAGCTATTACATCATTCAACCACTATTATTGCTCTATAGAAGCACATAACCATATTGAGGTATTTGGTATGCTCTATGAGAGATTTCATCCAGTCCTATAGAAGAATTCAATTACACATACACTTCAGGAGTATATTATCTATTCAGTTCTAACATTACAGTAATAGCAAAATCAGAAAGAAAATTAAAGTATACAATGAGATATATAATAAGATAAATTATTCTCTTGAAAAATATAAAATAAATGCACTTGGATATTTTCATTGTAAACTAAAATAACTACTATCACTTTCAGGTAACTGTCGGTAACATCCACAGGAATTTTGTTAACTCCATAGTTATCATGAACATTGTCTTTCCGAGTAGTAGTACATTATATTAGCATGGAGTGTATACGAGATTAATGATCTTTTATGCCTTGACAGTAGCACATGCTATCTTTGACCTTTTTACTTTCGTCAACTTCCCACTTTTGATGGTTTACTTGATTAAAACTCTCACTTTGGGTGATTTGTGGCATATTTGACTATTGCATTTGCTTGCTATCTTTTTTCAATGCATTTCCACTTCTGGTGGATCAATAGCATTTTTTTTCTTTCCCAATACTTGCATTTGTGTGGCTATAATTGCAACGTGGACAGATTATATTTGTTCATAGTAATAATCCCGACTATGTTTATTGCTCAGTTACACTGTTAACGCATTCGTTTCAAGGAATGGGACGAAATCAATTTATAACGTTGTACTAAAAGTTTAACGATTCAACTATTAATAGAGCAACTTAATATGTAAAAAATACAAAGTATAGATCATAACATTGCTACTTCAGGAGCGAGTTTGATGTGTTTATATTGCTACTGGCAATATATCATATTTTCATGTCTACTAACATAAATAGAGTACATGTTTTTCAACACAATCTATGAATATAAGATATCTCATAATTTATAAATGGAATCATTATGTAAAGAAAACTTTTCTTTTTCTTTTTTTTTTCTTTTTTTCATTTACGGAAAGAAATAAATTAAATTTGCATAAGTTTAATCACATATGTAGTTCCAATATAGATATGGTTGTACACACACCATACAAGAAAAACCATTCACTTATTTTAAAATATTCAATTTGGTATCACATGAATTTTTATGCTTTAATCCTTTTTTTTCAAGTAAGGAAAAAAATGTGAAAAACCAACAGAACGTGCGTTATTGGTGCACACTTCTTAAATCTCATGGATGCCAATTTATTTTTGGGTTATCAATTATTCATGCATTCACTCGTGAGTTTGCATTGTGGTTTTCAAAACCAATTTAAATACATGCACCAAAACAATTAGTTCATGAAATTGGTAAATCAATTTTAAAGTATAAATATTCTAACTTGTAAAACAAAACAAACCCACTGTATAATAGACTGGTGCTAATGGAACATTACTAAACTAAAAGAATCAATCCATTATAGTACAATTATAAAACTCAAAGTGCTAATCCACTTACCAATATGCCTGCACGATTTATTTGTTATGTGTGTAGCTTCGTGCCTTCTCAATGGATTAGAGATTTGTGCCGATAACGTATTATAAAATAAATATAGAAGTGTAGAGAAAGAATAATAGAGAGACATGAGAAAGAAAAAAGAGAATTCATGTGTATATTCATTTAGAGACTGACTTTCTTTTCTAAAAAAAGGAGATATAGAGATAAGAACTAGAAACGATGAGATCTAATATAATACAATCTCTATACCTGACTTCTAGTATAATTCTTCTATCATGTAGACATCCACAATAATAATTTATATTTATAACATGATGATATTTATTTAAAAATTAATCAATTCTAATTTTTAAGAGGTTATAGTAATTAACTATATATCTTTAATTTTGCATCATCCATCCATATACGTTGCTCATAAATTTCAACTCATATTCATATATGATAAACAAAATTGACGGAACTTTAACCTTTTTTTGTTTTAATTCAAATTAAGTTTTTATTTATTTGATTTGTTGAAATAGGTATTTGGTACAGTCGTGGATAAATAATGGCCAATATTTTAAAATTTTGCATTTCGCTCATAAAAGACACTGATTTGTACCTGTATAGTTGTATTAGAATCAACAGTCTAACTTCTAAAAGTGTGTTATACAATGTTTGGACCAGAAACCAGTTGATCCTTTTCCAAAAACTCTAACCAAAAGAAAAATTAATTTCTCAAAACGTATAAATTATTTTTTACATTGCATTTGATCCTTACCGACTGTTTTATGTAATGGAACAATCTTCTATGCACACTCCTCAATGCTTTCAAGTCACGAACTACCACAACAATCATATTTTTTATAATCTACCCAATCTACAATTTTACCAAGGCTCCCTTTCCTACAACTAAATTGGACTATGGAATTGGAATTGGAATGGGAAGGTTCCAACACCAATCTTTTGTTTGGTTGGACAAAAAATGTAGGCATAAAATTAGAATTAAAATCTCAAAATGGAACTACATTATTCAGCTTTTTATTGCAACTATTATATTATTGGACTTGCTATTTATCACACTACTAAGAGCATAAAGCAATAGTCATTAGATAATTTTTAAAAATTAATCAAGACTAGTGACAATTTTTATATTTAACCATCTTTAAACATAATGTAATAATTATACTTATTGTTTAATACTATTAACAATTGTACGAACATCACCATCGACTTCAATTTTAGACTTGTAAAACAAGTTTATTTTTGTATCTGGGGATACTTCTCCGGCATAGCATTTGCTTTTTTTTTTTCAAGGCACTAAAGTTCAAATCTCGCACTTATTTCTCTAGCATTTTTTTAGGTGACGTTGGAAATCCATAAAAGGCGGGTAAATTCTTGCCCACTATAATAACCACAGTCTGTAGTTGGTGATAATTTAGGTAAGTTTTGGGGGTTGGATTAACATGTGAAATCATAAATTCATAATACGGAGAACATTTGTAGATTTGTTTTTTTAAAAAAGAAATTAAAGGTATCCAAAAGTCAAGGAAGAACCGTAAAAAACTGAGTATGTACATCACTGTGAACTATTACGACTCTTTTAATCTATTACACCAAGCTTCATTACCATTAACTTGACTACAAAAATTTAGAATTTTTTAGGTAATCTCCATTTTTATCTTTACAAATCTTTCATATACAGTCAAACTTCCTGCTATTTCGTTTCATCCACGTTTGATAGATAGCAGCTGTAATTCCATCATACAAGATTTTTCTTTTCATCTTCTTAAATCTCCATGTCTTTAATAACCTTGGTATTCCTCCCGTCAGTCTGGACAGTGGCAGCTTTTTGCAGTTGAACAATTCCCTCAGCAGATCTTGTGAGTAGGAACAACAAAAGAAGAGGTGACCTACATCTTGAACAGGTCCATTACACAATTCTACATACTTTGATCCTGAAACCAAATTTAGATTGGATAACCTGTCAAGTGTCCATAATCTGCCTTTGAATGGTAACCAGCTTATAAAGTTGTTCTTAGGCAAACTGTACAAACCACTATACTCTTACAAATTACAATCACAAATTTCGAATTCTCAACTTCTACAATGGATACATAACAGACGATTAAGGATAGTTTAACTTGAAATTTCCAACTATTTGAAAAATGATATTCTTTTATCGCAAAATTATTATACAATTTGATTTTTTGTCTTTAATTTAAATAGTATTATGATTGAAAATACAAACTAAACAATAATTTAGGTCCAAAAGGTACATAGGATACAATAATCACGTTACTGTCTGATACTCTTAATGCTAACACACAAAACGTTTATAAATAGAAATGTGGCTCCGAATGCTCCACAAAACAAAAGGGGGTAAAACTTAAAAGCACCAAAGAATTAAAGTCCAAATTCCACCTGGAAGTCTGGAATCTCAGCCTGTAACCTTATCCCCATAATATCTCTCTTCTTCTTATAGGCCATCAATTTACCATCTCAGCATCACCAAAACAAAGTTAGCCCAAATATACTTCCGTTCTCAATTCTTTCTTCTTCTTCTTCTTCTTCAATCTGATCATCAAAAAAAAGACTTCCCCTTTTAACTGAAACAAAACAAAAACAACTCCAAATCAGTTTGTCAGTCCCAAAAAAAATGGCTGCCACAGCTGCTGCAGCTGTTACTTCTTCTTTTACCACATCCATGCAAAGTCTCAACTGTATCCGATCCACCAAAACTTGGCCCAACAATTCTGATCCCCTCCTTAAACTTGCTTCTTCAAGAATGCTAAAAACAGAGCACTGCACATCACATTCTATTGGGTTTCAATCAATTTCGATCGGATCATCGAATAAATGGAGTAGAGTTTACAGAGCAGGGGCTGCAGTAGCTCAAGAAGAAGCTGCCCTGTTGGCTCCTGAAGAGGAAGCCACGGCGGTGCCGGAGCAGGAAGAGGAAGCGGCAGCCACCGAGGCCCCGGTGGCAGCCGCGACCTCAGAGAGTTCTAATACTGTAAATACTAAGCTTTATTTCGGGAATTTACCTTACAATGTTGATAGTGCACAGCTTGCCGGAATCGTTCAGGACTATGCTAGTCTAGAGCTAGTTGAGGTGATTATTTTTTTTGCTTGTAAAAAAATTTGGTTGATCGCTAGTGTTCTTGATTGGAATTGGATTGTCAGAATTTATTGAATTCTTTCCTAATTAATCAATTGGGTTATAGTTAAAATTTAGAATGTAATCATGGTTAAGGAAATGCAAGAACATGGATAACTGGAAAGAGCTGGCCTAATTGTTCTGTTTCGAGATTGATGTTATAATTTGAATACAGTTTATGTAATTCTGTGAAATCGATGAATTTGTTCATGTTGGTATATACTTAGAACTGTAATTTTGCCATTATAGGTTATTTATGATCGACAAACAGGAAGGAGTAGAGGATTTGCATTTGTGACAATGAGTACGGTTGAAGATTGCAATTCTGTCATTGAAAATCTTGATGGAAGGGTAAGATTTCTCAGAATTGCTTCAAAAATATTGCTATAATTAACTCAAAAATCCCGCATTAAGTTCATATTTGCAGGATGTTTATCGTAGACATTAACATTTCTGTTTCAGGAATACGGTGGTCGAACATTAAGGGTAAATTTCTCAGACAAGCCTAAACCAAAGGAGCCATTATATCCAGAAACAGAACACAAACTCTTTGTTGGTAACTTGTCTTGGTCCGTCACTTCCGAAAGCTTGACAGAAGCATTTCAAGAATATGGAAATGTGGTTGGAGCTAGGGTTCTTTACGACGGCGTTACAGGACGTTCGAGAGGCTATGGATTCGTTTGTTACGAAACCAAAGCCGAAATGGAAGCAGCTCTCAATTTACTGAACGGAGTGGTACTTTAAAACATTCTACTAGCTAGCTTTTTTATCATCTTATGGAAAGCCTAAAAATGAGGTTTCTGAATTCTAATCTTGATGGTTTTCTTTTTTTCAGGAGTTGGAAGGAAGATCTATGAGAGTCAGCTTAGCAGAAGGGAAAAAGAACTGATGAGGTGATGATCATTTGATCAGGACTTTGTGTACAGATTTTAGGGTACAAAAAATTGTGAGATTGTCAGAAGGAATGCGGATTCAGGTCCTTCAAACTTCAAAATATGCATATTTTACTAACAGCCCTCTTGTTGTTCTTCATGATAAGTTTGATGATCATTCGGAAAAAGAGAATTTCATGACATGGATTCAGTGTCTTGTGGTAGCAAAACTAGCAATAAAATCAGATTAGGAATTGCAGTATGTAAGCTCAGAAATTCTCTGTCAGTTTAACAGATTAGCTTGTGAAATATTACATTCTTCTTGCATTAGGAATGGCCAGCAGATTGAACAAAAAGATTGTAGAACTCACACTATTTCTATCATTAATGAAGATTTGCTTATGTATAACTCACATTTCATGGCCTCGTAACCTTGCGCCTTCTTATCATACAAAACCCTATATTTCTAATGAAATTGTCTATTCAACTTGCCTAATCTTATTCTTAACAAAACATTGCAGCAAAGTACCTAGTCTGATTTTTGTTATAGTTGTGTGACCAGGCTTTGAAACATTTGCACGTTATCTACGCTGTGCATAATGCAAAAATCATTCTTCATGGGCGGGGATCTTTGGATTTTTTTTTAGTGTATTTTTAAGTGTTTTTTTTCTTGGTAAAATGTACTGGTATGTTGGGAATATATTGAGTATATTGTTGTTACAGTAATTGTTATTTAGATTGCATTTCTCAGCCCGCGTGCTATTATTATTTTTTTTTTGCTCAATCGACACATAAAAATCTAAATCATTGTTACACTTTCGACACAAATGAGAACTTTGTTTGATTTACTAGTAATATGATTATAAAACTTTGAATGAGACTAAGCGATTAAGGTTGCGGATGATTTAACGTTTTAAACATTGGAAAGGAAAAGATCAATTTCTATTAATTTGTACTATTTCTTATTTTGCGAAGAGGACATAAATGACTTCTGACTCTAAGTTGTAAAGGTTTTGTTGATGTTTTTCATGGCATATTTTAAATATTTTCGTTACAATAAATATGATTCTTTTCGAACGGAAAAAGTAATATGCAAACAACTTCTTCATGTGTATTTTTTTTAACTGGATGCTATTTTAAGCTGCTCCATAATAAGTTTGTTTTCCTTTCCTTAAAGTAATACAATCATCGTCTTCAGATGTTGTCACTTGAGGATGAAATTTCCGATTTGATTCGGTGACATCAGATGATCAGAGCCAGATATTTATGATGTCAAAAGCAAGTTTCATGACCTCGTCTAAACAAGAGACGTCCACATGAATAACCATCGATTTATTTTTCTTTTATAATAATATATGTGTACATATATTAATTCTTCTAGTACCAATGTAAATCTCCTAACTAATCGATATGTGGTACATTCACTGGAAGACTGAAAAAACAATGAAATCCACACCTACAAACTTAATATTCTCGATATCCCAAAAAATAGTCTATTCTATTGTACTATTTTCGCTTAATTAGTAAGGTTAATTATTTTTCTGGGTCGGAGCATCAAGGTTGTTATTTTCAACATTTTTTGGTGCTCTGTTTATGAAGAAATTTCCACTGAATAAAAATAAACTACATAATTCCATTTCAATCTAACATTTGTATAGGAGTTACGTTTATTTTTCTGTATTGTTTTGATTTTATCGAATACCCCAAATGGAAGAAGTACGTTCACAAACTAGTTTCAAAAGTTCCAAGCTACCCAAGAATCAATTTTTTCTTAGGACGTTCGGTAGGAAACTAAAATTTCTTGGATTCAAAATTGATAGAACTGGCGAATGAGGAGTTGGTTCAGTAGTAACACCACCCTTGCTTCAAGAGGAGGTCATGAGTTCAATCCCCCACTCCAACAAAAAGTGACGGATTAGCTCTCACCTTGTCTATTGGCACCTCTAGGGGCCTATTATGGCTAACCGACAAATGAACCCCCGATTTTATACTTGAACTTGTCACCCCGGGCATGCCTAAGGTGATTTACCTCCCACTGTAGTTTGCAGACTATTGCAGTAGGCGCGAGTATACAGACTATTGCAGTGGGCACGGGTTATCCATCTCTAGTGGGATTTCCAGCATTATAAAAAAAAATAAAATTGATAGAACTAAATGCATAAGGTGTTGAGGACTTGAAGTAATAATGTGTGGCACCACATTAATATACATACCTCAAAAAGTTAGCCGATTAAGTGATACTCCTCTCTATTTTCTATATCGAATTTTAGAATTTTTACTAAATTCCAAATATTAATCGGAATCCTTTTTTTTTTGAGATAGAGAGGAGTATTATTTACTATGTTGCAAATAAGATATATTTACAAACAACCACATTACCCCATTTCAATCGTTATAGTGATGTTTAAAATTGTCTCTAATGTTGAATATTTATTCTAAAAATATAAAAGATCCATTCCCTTTCCCCTTTGCAAAATCTTTTTTTGATACTCTGGTTCCTTTTCCTTTTTTTTTCCCATTCTTATCAAACTAGGAGTTAGACTCGTCCGATGGACGTCCGATGGACAGGGAGAATATACACATATAAATTTATTTAACGCAAAGAGGATTATTAAGAAATTCAAAAAAGAGAACCAAAAAAAAAGGAAAAAGAATTAACTTCAGATTGAGTGATTATATATCTTGCAATACTTATTTAGATTACATTCGTAGTTTTGAAATCGACACCACCATCTTCATCACATATCAAGGTCTTTATTTCTGTCTCGAAGTGACTATTGTTTTCATTGCTTTTATTTTGTGCTTTTCTTTTTAACATACGATGCATTCTCAACATAATTTATTATTGTTTGAAACCCATTTGTTCGTCTGATTTAGTTATTTCTCATTACCTATCTAATAATTTATATTTACTTTAACTTACTCAATGTCATAAATATTTTATTTAAAATGTGGGCAGGGGGTATCTTTGTACCCCTTAAAGAATATCACTCAACTATTTTTTCTACATTAGTATCTTCTTGGACCTTTTCACTAATGTCAAAACCATCATGCTCATGTTTTTCGGATTAAAGTTTGCTTTTTTAGAAAAACAATTTCAAAGTTTCGTATAGTTGTTTAGCATTAGTTTTATTTCCTTACTTTTATTGCAATTATTATTCAATATTCTCACATTTAGCTTAAGTTATGAGAGATGCTTGTTCAATATCAAAGCCAACCCGATCATTAATGTAAGGTGGGTTTCAAACTCATTATTATAAAAAATAAACGAGTCCTACTAAATTTTACATACTTTATTGAATTGATAATTCTATAATGTGGAAAAGAAATTTATCCCGTGGAACTTTTTTATGATAACATGACTTTTACAGTTCATGGACAATTGGTAAATTTTTTGAAAAATATCGAGGGTGATCCAACATCCCACTTCTATAAATGAGAATTTTAAATTCTTACCATAGATGAAGTAAAATTTAACATTCCATTCTTTCAATATTTTATTTATCAAATGATTTATTCCTAGTTCTATGCACAAACTTTTTTTAAGAAAGTTTTATGCACAATTACTTAGTTTTGCAACATCCACTAAAGAAAAGTTGCATCGAGCACTACCATTATTTGCTTCTCCAGACACATGAAGTTACAAAGTTTAATTCCATTATTTGATTGCTTGTGTACATTAATATATTATTATCTCTCCCTATAAAGCTCTAGTTTTTGTATTAGATAAGAAGTCTCACTGCAACCCCCTTGGTGTTGCGCCGCTAATGTCAAATAATCTTTTGTAAAATTGGCTCAAACGACCCATAATTACTATTGTTGTATGGTAATACGAATGCGGTTAAAATCTTGACAAATGCTTATTAAAGGTGAAAAAATAAGCCTAAAGATTCTAAACCAATAGCTTTCATGGTTTAACCTCATAATGTCTTTTTTCTCAATGTCCTCGAATTACATGCATGGGAAAAAGTACCAACAACTGCCAATACAAAAATTGCCTTTTCTATTTGTCAAGATTCAAGAAACATAACCAACATAATAAGCCTTTTTTTCTTTATATAGAAGAGCTGTGTAGCAAACTCCGTTCATAAAGAATTAGTCTCTCTAGATAATCATAAAAAATTATTCCACAAAGAAATTCCCTTAAGGCCGTAACAAAGGAGAAATTCCTTTTTCAATCAAAGCCTACATTAAACTGGCGAGTCACTTCTCTGATAATCAATCATGTCGAACAACCTATCAGTTAGTCTCTTGGCGCATATCTTCAACTTCCTACCTCCCACAAACGTTAGTTTTTGCTTTATCAGCCCGTCGGAACTGGCACCAAGCTTTCCTCAGCTGTCTGGAACTGTCGGAGTTGCGGCGATGTTTGGCCTGGTTCATCAGCCTGATATTCAGCATTGGCGGTCTTCTCTGCTACGCCCAAAACCCGATTGATTATGATGGTGCTTACGTTCTAATAATAGATTCAAACTCTTCCCAAGTACCTACCTATAAATTAATGATGACAGGGTTAATTTAGTATCACAGTTACCACAATAATGAGCTGCATAACTAAATGTTGAATATACCTATGAAACTTAGCAAACCGGTGGCGCTGAAATCAAACGGCACGATCTTCAACATATTGAAAACGAACATCTTTGCTTATTGACAATCAAGTCAAATTATCTAAAATGGTTTTTAGATTATGTTATGCGCTCGCAATTTCAACATGAACCGACATGAAAAAATCAGGTTCAGGTTGAGATGTTGTACCCGTATAATAAACATGGTGGGTTAAGGTTCACCCGTCGGGTTACCCGGTGACCCGTATATATTAAATAATAAGTAATGTTTATAGATTTGTCTGGGTGATTCTGGAATTTGAGCTCTAATAACCCTAATAAACAAAAAACAAAAACCTCCATCTCACTTTCAGTCTTCAGCCGTCTCCCTTTCTTTCTTGTTGCTACCGCCGTGAAGCCAACCAAGGAAACCATTCCAAATCTTTCAAGTTTCATTCTATTACATCAAA